GAATGGTTTTCAGTAGCCAAAATTAACCAAACCTGCCTGCCTGGACATACCTGAGGATGGGTTGTCCCTGGCTGCCCATGACCCATTTGTGGGCTCTCTTAGACCCAAAGCAGGGAAGCTTTGGGGGTAAAAGGAGGGCACATGCCCTGGTGACACTCCACAACAAAAGGACTTGCTACTCCCAATGCTGTCCCCTGGATCCAGCCACAGGGCAAAGGGGGAGTCACGTCTCCCCTGCCCCATGTCCAGGGGGCTGGACAGCAGCAAGACAGGGGAGTGAAATGCTAGGCTGTTTGTGCCTATGGAATAGTCCAGGCTTTCTGCTTTGGTGTCATGCTGGTCCATGGAGGAGAGCCACAAAGATGATTGAGAGGGATGAAGCATTTCTCCCGAGGAAAGGTTGCATAAGTTAGGCTTTCTCAGTCTCAGGAGAAGAGAATGCTCCAGGGAGACCTTAGACCCTCTTCTAGTGCCTAAGGAGACCCCAAGAGAGCAGGCCAGGGGCTTTGGACAAACCCCCGGAGTCACAGCACAAGGGTGAATGGCCTCAAGGGTTAGTGTATTAGGAAGAGGTTCTTCCCTCTTAGGGTGGTGAGGCCCAGGCACAAGTTGCCCAGAGCAGTTGTGGCTGCCCTACGGTGGTATTATTCAAGGCCAGGCTGGACAGGTCTTGGATCTGCCTGGGATAGTGGAAGGTATCCCTGACCATGGGAAGGTGTGGAACAAAAAGGTCTTTAAACATCCCTCCCAACTCAAAATCATCTGGGATTCTTATTCTCCGATTCAGTGGTTCATGTGCCCAGCCCTCATCTACAAACTGAGGATGGGGAAAGGGTCTTTTTACATGAGTGGGTTTTGATGACTCCCTGGGATGTGGCTGCAGCCCAGACCTAGTGCAGGCTCTGGCCCTCCAATTGCCTGTTCCCACCCAGAGCATGATCCAGGAGGAGCAACCAGAGGTGTCCCAATGGCACGGCAGGAGGATGGGGTCACTTCTACCCACCGGCTGCACCCACTGCCACCCGGGTGTCCCACAAAGGGACTCTTTGGGTCTAAGGGAACCCGCATATGTGATCTTCCAGGGTGTTGGCCAAGACCTCAGCCCCTCCTCTGCTCCCTGACAGCTGCTTTTCCAGGTCTGAGTATCTGCCATGTGCTGCTGCCTCCTTGTGTAATGTGTGGGAGTTTAAGTCACGGTCCCTATGGTACACAGCTGCAGAGCAAAGCAGGGATTCTGGGAGCCTCACTCTTCCCCATCACTTGGGTCTCCTGGAGGCAGTATCTGCCTTCAATCAGTTGTACCTTGGAACAGAGCGGGGTGGCTGTGCAGGACGAGGTGAACACCCGCGCCAGGCTGGGATCACAGCCACAGTGAGTCATTGGCTCTGGCAGAGATAGGATGGGACACTGAAGCGGAGTCTGGATGCTGTGCTTGATCCCCTCAGGATGGGAAATGAACCCCTCCAGAAATGAACCATGCTAGTGAGCAGAGGCTCAGCCTCTTCCATACCCTGCAGTGGGGAGGACAGACCCTCTCCATTCCACCTGGGAGTGGGCCTTTGCTCATAGTGCTGCAAGTGTCAGCCACAGGCAGGGAGGGGGAACAGGGAGCACTGGGTAGCACCAGGTGATCCTCTTAAAACAGAAGGCAGTTTATACCAAGAGTTTATGCCAAGAGGAGAATAGAGTTGACATTCTGGAACCTGGGATACAAGCAAGAGCCCAGGATACAGGCGGGCTGCAGCAGCACAGCACCGACATGGTCTAGGATGGGAGAACACTCTAACTGAGGGATCACAGGGATGATCAGCACCTGCTTGCAGGTCTGAGATCCAAGAGGCACCTCCTTAGTCTGGTCAGCCCTGCATGGTGCAGCTCCCCATCCCAATGAGAACCAGCCCCAGGACCCAGGGTCTTCTTCCAGTCATTGCATCCTCAGTTTGCTTCCCAGTGAGTTGCACTGACAACAGCAAGGCCAGGAGGTGCAGAGCAGGAGGGCTACAGAGCCAGGGCAGCAGAGACTGCCCCAACAGTGCTGACCACATGGCAGGGAAGAAAAGCAAAAAGACAGAACGTTCAGGTCAGGGGCCCAAGATGCGCCTGTTCCGGCTGACATGTAGGATAATAGCTCTGCTGGGACAGCAGCCCTTGTCTGAAGGGGCAGCTGGGCATGGAGCACAGGCTCAGAGGACATGTAAAGGGCATGTAGCTGGGCAGGAGAGGAGAGAAAGTATAAATAGATGAACCTGGGTGACTGGATCCTTCCCAAACTGCACAGCTGAGGACACAGAGGATGACATCCTGCATCCCTGGGCAGCCCAGGGGCCAGGTATACCTCCAGACTGAGCTTAGGAGAGGGCTCACTCTGCTCAGACTGTAGCTCCAGGCTCTGGCAGTACAGACCCCCCATGCAATGTCACCCTGGCACCCACCATAGATGCCCAGGGACAGGCATGTTGACCCCATGGTGTTGCACCTGTGTGTGACAACCTCCTGCATGGAGAGCTGTGGGGAGGTGAGGTAGGTTGGCAGGAGCTGTCCTGGCCAGGAACAGCAAAGCCCTGCTCCAGCTGTTCCCAGGGTAACCACAGCTTCACACTATGGGATCCAACAGTTATCAGAGATGGTGTAGTGTATTTTTTATACTTTGTAATACTTTGAAGTAGTTTTGGTTTTGTATCCTTGTATTTTTCCCAAATGGTTTATCCCAGACTGTACCCCCTCCCTTTACCTGTGTAATCCCTCTCCCTGGATGAGATCACCCCCAAACCCCCATCCTGGCTCTCTGTCAATCACTCAGCATCCCATCCCCTCCATCTAGAAGCTTCAGCCCAGGATGCTGAGCGATCAGCCAGAGGCCAGGGGTCAGCCCCCCAAGCCTTGCCCCATATGCTGTCCTAAATGTCCATCTCCCAGTACCCATCCCTCAGGGTCACTTATTGGTCAGTAAATGTTCTCTACTTTGGGTTTCCACCTCCTTTTAAATGTAACCTTGACACCTCTCCCGGGGCTCTCAGCAGGAGCCCCCTGAGATGCAGGAGCTCCTTGGAGACTCCTAGAATAAAACCTTGGATTAACCCCTGCTAAGAGCCGGCCCTTTATCTCCTACCGATGTCTCTCCTGCTGCAAAGGCACCAGCCCAGGTGCCCTCAGCACCCTCGGGGCACAGACAGTGTCTCCCCTCAGCACCCTCAGGGCACAGACAGTGTCTCCCCTCAGGGCACAGACAGTGTCTCCCCTCAGCACCCTCAGGGCACAGACAGTGTCTCCCCTCAGGGCACAGGCAGTATCTCCCCTCAGCACCCTCGGGGCACAGGCAGTGTCTCCCCTCAGCACCCTCGAGGCACAGACAGTGTCTCCCCTCAGGGCACAGGCAGTGTCTCCCCTCAGCACCCTCGGGGCACAGGCAGTGTCTCCCCTCAGCACCCTCAGGGCACAGGCAGTGTCTCCCCTCAGCACCCTCGGGGCACAGACAGTGTCTCCCCTCAGGGCACAGGCAGTGTCTCCCCTCAGGGCACAGGCAGTGTCTCCCCTCAGCACCCTCGGGGCACAGGCAGTGTCTCCCCTCAGGGCACAGGCAGTGTCTCCCCTCAGCACCCTCGGGGCACAGGCAGTGTCTCCCCTCAGCACCCTCAGGGCACAGACAGTGTCTCCCCTCAGCACCCTCAGGGCACAGGCAGTGTCTCCCTGCTGTCAGCCGTGCTGGGGCTGCCCCAGGTGTCTGGGACTCAGGGCTGGCCGGGGATCCTGAGAGGCTCCCAGAGGGACAGAGATAAGAGCCCTGGAGGTGCCACCGATCTATGCAAACCCAGTTCCAGCAGGAAAAAGCCTGAAGAGAATGGAACATGCTCACCCACGTCCCAGCATACACATCACTTACAGACCTGGCCACAAATGCAGGTCTCATGGCTCCTGAGCCAGCCCCCACTGTTAAGGGTGCCAAAGTGGACACAGCCCACACCCACAGGGGAGGGTCAAGCCCATCTGGCTCATGTGGCTGCCAGGCCAGAGTGACAGCTTGAGGTGAACTCTGCAGTTCCCAGGGGAAACCTGATCCCAGCGGGCTGTGGCACTCCCAGGGCTACCCCACAACCTGCCACAGTCACACAGAAGGTGGGATGGGAGCCAGTGCTGCTGGCCAGGACTGGGACAACCCCCAGTCTGAAACAGTCTGGAAAGGGAACTGAGACTTTCTTTTTCTTTGGAAGCCCTCATGGGCTCCACACCCAAGCAAAGGCATGAAATGGGAACCAAGGGCAATTACCAACTCTCTTCCTGCCTCAGCTGGAACTAGTGGCTGCCCTAAGCAGCACTTGGAAGAGGCCATGGCAGACACTCCTTTGCCAGCTGCCAATAAGTGGACTGGGGTGTCCCTCTTGGCTCTGCTCCCCACAGGGGAGGCTCAGCCTCTGCAGGAGGGGAAGCCTGGGAAAGGAAGGTACCCCAATCAGGGCAGAGCCTCAGGTTCACTCTGTGTGAGCTGCGATCTCAGCATAGGGCAGAGGGACATGTGCCACACATGCCATGCCACAGAGGTTCCTTGTGGCTGACCCTGTGGGAAGGAGACACTGCAGAGCACCAGCCACTGTTGCCACCACTGTGGAGCAACTCTGAGAAAGGGTACTTAAAAACAAGTAAGAGGTTGTGAATTGCACCAGCACTGCCTGACCAGTGCGAGCCCCAAGCACAGCTTCTGGGGGAGTAAATAGATGAGGCTACAGCACTTGGAAGAGGTGCATGTGGCTTTAAGACCCTGCTCCACAGCAGGGGACAGGGTATCCCCAGACCCTGAGAAGCCCAGTAGTATCCCCAGACCCTGAGAAGCCCAGAGGTAATGGGAAAGGACATGAAAACATGTCCAGGTACAGAGACCCCCAGGCTCTTTGTTTGTTCACCAGATTGCAGCTTCAGCTCCCCCTGCATTCTGAGAGACAGGACAGTCAGGGACTGCAGGGCTGGCTGTAGTAGATGGGGTGATTTAGGGAGAGACAAAGGACAAATTAAATAAGTCACCCCACTTTATTATCCCTAAAGCCAGGTAACCCTCATAAAAAGGGTCAGTTCTAATTAACCTCAGGCAAAACAGGCAGTGGACACTAGAGGAGGCATCACAAAAAGGATGGCAGGCAACATCCATTAGGGGACAACTAACAACCAGCTCCTGCAGACAGGGGATGTGACTAGCCATGGCCTTGCTGCTCCTCCTCCACCATCTCCCTGGTACTCTGCTGATCCCCACTCCAGCTGCAGGCACAAGGCAGAGCAGAGATTCATGCCTTGCAATAAGCTTTAACTCAGGATCAGTCTCAAAGAGAACAGCTGGATGGGACAGAGTCCTGACAGATAAGAACAGAAGTGAAAACAGTATTGGCCTGCATGTGTCAGCTCAGGGCAGAACCAGCACTGCCCAGCCCAGCTCAGTGCCATAGAATCATGCCTGGAGGGTCAGACCATGAAACAACACCAGAGAGAAAGGTCCTGGCCTCGGGGATACAGAGGGCCAGGCTGTGCTAAATGGGATCTTCAGTGAAAGTACCATGGATACCAAGTACCAAGGCAGTCAGATGCCATTCAGCTCAAGCATCATCACCGAGCTGGGTGGGAAGCAGGAGGTGCCATCTAATAGGACCCATCTTGAACAACCACCACCCCTCGAGACACCTGTAGAGGAGTGCAGCTCACAGTCAGGATGTCATCCCCCACAACCATGTGAGGCAGAGCTGCCATTTCTCCCTGTGGAGATGTGCACAGGGAAGAGCCTGTCAGCCTCTGCTCTGTTCCACACTCAGTTAAATACAAAACCAAGTTCTAAAGACCCTCTGTGAGGTCAGACTGATGTGAGCATCCTCAGGCTATGAATATCACTTCTCCTTTCACAGTCATCATGAAAATAATCTAATCCTGGCAGTCATCAGGAAGTATTTGCCAGGTCAAGCAAAGTAAAGACTGAGGGGTCTGCCTCAAATTGTCAACAGCCCAAAACAGCAGCTCAGTGATGTAGGCTATCTTGGTTGGGTCTATGGCTCATTTCCTATAGGAGCCTACAGCCATGTAAACAGCAACTATGGTATCCTTACCACAAACATGACAGAGTGGTTGCCATGAGGACCACCAGTTTGGGCACTACAGGGCCAAGACAGTGCCTCTGGCAGGCAGAATATGGGCAGGCATGCCTCCTTGGATTTCCAATCTCGTCTTCCAACAGAAAGACAAGCAGGAGCCAGCACCCTCTGAGGGCCAGGCTTCTCTGGAGATGCTGCTAGAGTGTTGAAGATACATCACTTTCTCCCAAGAGCATCCAAAATCGAGCCTAAGTCAGCAAGGGAACAACAGCTCATCCCACACAGGCAGCACAGACAGCAGCCATGTCTCCTGCCTGCTGGGGGTCACAGGACTGGGGACAGCATCCCTGCAGCCCACTTAGAGACAGGAAAGGAGCAGCTTGAGAGCAGCATGGCTGATAAGCCATCAGCAGGGCAGGGATGCTCCCCAAGAGGGGTCCCGGCTCCCTCACACAGAGATGCCACCAGCAGCCCCAGACCTTGAGACACAACACCTGGAGCAGCAGGTGTGATGAGTTTAGGGCAAGAGTCCCTTGAAACCCGCAGATAAGTTTGGGGATGGGGCAAGGGAGGCATGTGCTAGATGAAGGTGGAGTCCAGCTGGCTCATCTCATGGTTGTTGTGGGCACGAGCCTCAAAGAGCTGCTTGATGAGGGCGGATTTCTCCTGCTCCAACTGAGTGATGCGCTCGCTCTTGTCAGTGACCTCCTGCACAAGACAGGGGAGGAAAATGCTAGTTAGAGGAGGAAACTGCTGGCAAGTGGTCAGGTTGCTGGTAAAATTTCATAGAACCACAGAATCACAGGCTTTGGGTAGGAGGACATTAAAGACCATCTCATCCCAGCCCCTAACCAGGGGCAGAAACAACTTCCACTAGAGCCAGTTCCTCCAAGACTGTTCTTGAACACTTCCAGGGATGGGGCAGCTTCTCTGGGCACCCTGTGCCAGGGCCTCACCACTCTCACAGGGAACAATTTCTTCCCACTATCCCATCTCACTCTGCCCTCTGGCAGCAGGAAGCCATTCCCCCTTGTCCTGTCCCTCCAGGCCCTTATTCAAAGTCCCTCTCCAGCTCTCATAGAAGCCCTTTAGGCCCTGGAAGGGGCTCTGAGGTCTTCTTGCTCTTCTTTTCCCCTGAGGAACACCCCCAGCTGTCCCAGCCTGGCTCCAGAGCAGAGGGACTCCAGCTCCAGAGCATCTTTGTGGCCACATGCTGGGACAGAAAACCCCAGCAGTGAGCCTGGCCCTGGCCTGAGATGGCAGACCATCCCTTCCCTGATAGCCCCCAGCTGCAGCCTCTGCATTCTCTTGTGACCTCCATTTGTCACAGTCTTTTCCCTCTGGCAGGAATGCCCTATCCCTGCCACTGACTCACCCAGCAAACAGCTGGAGACAGCTGGGCACAGCTGTGTGCCAGAGGGCCTCCACATGCAGCCCACACCCCCTTGGATGACCAAGTTTGGCCAAGCTGAAGGAACACTTCCTTGTTCCTGACCACTGCTTGTCATTCCTTCCCCGGCCCTATCCCACGCCCTTCCTTTCTCAGCACCCCCAAGGGCATCTCCTCCACCCCCACCTCCGCTCACCTTGGTGAGAAGCCGATTCTGCTCCTTCAGTATGTTGATGGCTTGCTGGGAGCCTGTGGAGGCTGGGGATGTCACAGGGACCAGCCTGCTCAGTGCTGAGGAGGGGTTTGCTGCCTGTAGAGAAGATGAAGGCATGAGACACTGAGCCTTCAAGCCTGTGGCCCTTCCCAGGCCTTTTTCAAGGTGAGATGTTTCTATGGCACACAAAGACCTGAGAGAAGCCCAGCAGAAGATTAAAATCACAACACAGGCCATCACGGGGTCTCCAGCCCTGTGAATGGGGCAGAACGGGGAAGCATTCCTGCCAGCATGCCTGGCAGGACAGGCAGCAGTGGGCTGCTCCTCCAGCTTCTGCCCAGCAGGACAGTCTGCTCTGAATTGGCTGACTCAGCACCTTGACAATGGCTGTACCTTTTTAGGGATCTTTAGGCCTTCCAAAGCATCCTCCAGCCCACCTCAGGACCAGCTGTACTGTCCTCTTGGCTGTCCTCCATCACCTTCCCAGAGCTGGGGGAGACTGTGGCAGCTCCAATGTCAGCCCAGCCACCAATGTGGGAGGGATAGGATGAATCTTAAGATCACACAAACAACCTCAAGCTGCTGATGTGGTGTTCTCACCTTGCTGGCAGTGGAAAGAAGGTCACCCAGGCAACGGTTCACTTCCTGCAGCTTAGGGACCAGGTGCCCCAGGTGGCTCTGGCCACCTTCAGGGAAATCCTGCAGGATGGGGAGGAAGAAGAGGCTGGGGGTTACCATGAGATCAGCTCCAGATCTGGCCACCTCCTAGCCCTGTTCTCCAAACCCAAACTTAGCCAGAAGAAGCCCCAGACTCACAGCACTGGTTCTCCTCTTCCCCAGGAACCGCTGGTGCTCCTGCATGAGCTGGATGTGCTGGTGGTACCACTCTCGAGCCCGGTCTATAAGCTCCAGGCCCTGCAACAGGAAATCCTTCTCCTGTTCCAGCTCCTTCATGTACTTCAGCTGCAAGACAGAGCATATGGGTGTCACCCACTCCCCACCAAGGCTTTGTCAAGTCCCAGGAGTTGGTTTCTTCATGAGGTGTAGGGGGATATGGATACAGGTAAGGGTCTCAGCCCCGTTCCCCAAGAAAAGCTGAAGAGGAGCAGGATAATGACTGCTGCCCGATGCTGCTTTGGAGGAAGATTTTTGGAAGAAAAGGACACTTGAGTCACCTCTACCCTCCTGCTCACCATTGCAGGTACAGGCTGCTTCACCTATTTACCCAGGGAGGCAGCAGGAGCAGCGCCTGCAGTTGCCCCCAGCTCCCTTTGGGATGTGAGAGTCAGCCCTGCACAGACACACTTGGATTTTGGTCAGCACTGAAGAGTCTAGCTCAGTCTACAGGCTGGAAGTCAGGGAAAAACTGCAGCCCTGTTTCCCCAGTTTGCCTCACCCCTGGAGGCACATGAAACCGAGGAGAGCATAGCACACCACACCTCTCTGCAGAAGATCTCTGCCAGTTGCTCAGGTTCCAACACCAGCATCACCTGGAGAGCAGTGGGGACCTTGCTGTGCCCGGGGAGCTGCTATGAGGGTGCCTGAGCAAGTGAGCAGGGGGCAGTGACCCATTCATCACCTCACCCTGTGACCCCATGGCCCTTCTCTTTGCAGTAAAAGGCTGCTCCCCCAGATCCCAAGGGCATGGGGAACTTCCTGCCTCACTGCCTCTGCCTTCTTTGCCAAAACACAGCTTGGCCTTCACCCACAGCACAGCCTGGGATCCACAGGCACCAGAGACTTCGGTCACCCAGAAAATGCTGGATGCACCAGAACCTCCTCCTTTGGAGAACATCAGGTGTGGTGCAGCTCAGAAGCGACCCTGAACAGAACCCTGTGGACAAGTAGGGCCATACCAAGACCTTCTTCAGGCCATCAGCATTTCCACGTCCCCACTGCCAGCCCCAAAGCCCTTCTGCCTCCCATACCTGTCATCCATTACACGGGGCTGCTCTTGCTCCTGCTGCTCCTGGAAACATATTTTGCAACACAACAACTCCCCCCACACCCTTCTCCAATGGCCCAAAGGGACATACCCAGAGGAAGAAGTGCAGAGCCTGGGTGCTGATGCTGAGGGGCATGAAGAAGGTGCTGTATGTGGCAAGGATCCCCATCCAGTTGCGGGTGCAGCCCACTGCTGCCTGTCCTGCCCTCCTCCCACAGGGCTTGCTGGCCAGCACAGAGACCAGAGGAAAAGGGAGCATCCCACAGAGCAGAGGGACACTGCCAGCCCAGGGGGGGACAAGCAGCATCTCGCCAGGATGAGACACTTGGGGCAGGAGAAAGACAAAGCTGGACTTGGCTGGTGCTCAGCAGCTGGTAAAGGGGAGGGGACAGAGCTGTGCCCTGGGCTGCTTACAGATGACAGTGCTCTACCTCTCAGGGAAGGTCTCATCCCAGCACCCTCATGGTCATGGGAAAATAAGGCCAACAGATGAGGTACTGGCTGGAAAAACGCCAGCTGAGTGAGTGAGCACTAGATGAGAGAGTGCAAAGAGTCCGGGGCTTGCAGCACAGCCCCCACAGCTCTGCTCCCTGCTCAGGAGGAATTAGTCCTGGTGCACTTCAGGATGTAGGATGGGCACCAGTGCTCCCATTTCCCAAGGGCTTCAGGCAAATTAGTCTAATGACAGTTCCTTGTCCCTTGGGAGCCCAACATCTGGGCAGGGAGGGGTAAGGAAGGTGACAGTACAAAGATTCAGTCCTTGCTGGACCCAAACCTGTCCCAGCTCTCTCTGTAGGCTTGGAAATGGCACCAGTGCCTAAAGGCTGTGCTCAGGGTGTCAGGGAAGGCTGAGACACCATTTCTCTGGGGTCAAAAGCACAGAAAGGTAGTGCAGCACTTGGCAACATATAGGGAGAAAAGGAAGGAGGGGACATGCCTCCCACTGACCACATGACAACTTGGGGGAATAGAGATCAAGACAACACAAGCCCTGAGCAAGAATGCTTATGGCAGAACTGGGGAGAGACATGGTGGCCACCATTCCCTCACAGAGCACCTTGAGTTGGGACCCTGAAATGTACTCCAGCCCAGAGTTGCACACACAGGCAAGGGAAGCAGAGACCTTCCTCTCTCCCCAATCCTCAAAACCCCAAGAAGCAGAGCCCTCAATCCCAGACACACAGAGCAACATTTATCACTTCTTATCAGCACCTCCCAGCAGAGGTCCCTCTCATGGCTGCAAGCCCAGCAAACTACCTGCACAAACATCCCCTCCCCAGGCTGGCATGGGGCCATGTTGTGTCCTCCAAGGCCAGCAACAGGCTGGGCAACTCTGGTCACGCCTGTTGGGCTGCAGGAGCAGGGTGACACCAGGGTGCAAGGAGTGAAAGTACAGTGGTGACAGTGCCACAAGTACTCATCCTGCAAGCTTGGTCCTGGCTCTCTGCCCTGGACAATTTAGCTTGAGCCTGTGGACAACATGCCCAGGCAGCTACTCCATTCCAGCTGGGAACAAATGAGATCCCTTCACCCAGGCAATCTGATCCAAGTCTCTCCACTCAGCGGTGGAGAGAGGGGAACAGACTCCTCCATCCTGAGCTGCCTTAATAAATTCAGTATGGATTTCTCTGCTTTGCTGCAAAAAGTCTGTTGGAAGCCAAGAGGACCTGCATGTTTGAGCCCTGATCTACATGGAACATCTGCGAGGGGGCATAGCTTGGCCCCACTGCTTGCCAGCACAAAGCACACCTGACCCTTGCTGGGGTGCTCTTAAGGCCCAGAGATCCATCTCTTCCCACACCTCCACCTTCGTCTTCCTCTTCCCAAGACCTTGCCCATGGGGAAGGCAGCCAGCATGCTGGCTTCATGGGCTGACCCCATTCTGGGGAAAGGATCCACCTCCTCCCTGTTTGTCAGGATTCAGGAAAGCACCTTGGAAATGATATACATCCACATGTATCAACAGACCTTCAAATCCAAATACCAGTATTTACCTGACGTCCCACAACTCACTTGTGCAGGGTGGGCAGAGAAGAAGCCAAAGCCCAAAGATGGCATCAGCAGTGAGGGACCCCTGCAACCCACCTTCCCCTTCATGGGAGCCCACAACACTCCCTTACCATGCTGAAGTCCACGCCATTGGTGATGGTGTGTCTCCGGTGCTCTGCACGGCCTCTCTGATGCCTCCGAGTGTCCCTAGCCCCTGCGTGGTCACTGTCTCCCTGGGGCTGCCCAGCAGACTTAGCATCACCACCTGGAACAGAGCAAGGCATGAGGCCACAAGCTACTTTCAACAAAATCCTCCCCAGGGCCACTTCTGTGAGATGATCTGCAAGGTGGTCTTACAAACAGGGAGAGACTGAGAAAACCACCAGCCTGAATGCCTGCTCCTGTTTTTGTCCAGGCAGAACGGATGTCAGGAATGACTGACTCAGCTGTGCCAGGCTGGCAACAGATCTCAGCCTAAGTCTGTAGAAAGCAAGCCCATCTTCTGCAGAAAGCAAGCAGCTTCCAGGCAAAGCTGGTCCAGTCCCAGCCAGGGCAACTAAACCATTAGTGATATTGCCTGCCCTCACGTGTCCTCATGGGACACCTTGCTTCCACTCAGGTGACATCAGCTCTGCCAGGAAACCAACTTCTCCTGAAGGCAGTTCTTGCTTGGTGATGGACTTGGCCATGTGGATATTCAGCCCAGACACTATGTCTATGATGTAACCATAAAGTAAATACGACTGCAGATTTTCCACAATCTTATTAAAACCCCAACATCCTATCCTGCAAAAGATCAATCTACTAAAAACACATGGTGCTGATGCAAATCCATGCATAACCTGTTTTTGAAGATTAAGTTCATACTGGCAGGTTCCAGGCTGGATCAGGCACCTCCTGCCTGTCAGCCAGGGCAGGAATTCACTGGGCACCTGCAGCGAAGGCCATACAAGCCCCAACACTGCCCACCTCACCAGAAACCCAGCCCTGCCATCACAGGCAAGCCAGCTCTGATCCACTGCTAGGTGAGCTGGTAGAGCAGAACCCTGACACCCCAGCATCCCAAACCACAGCATCAGGGCTGCTACGGGTGCAGCCAGCACATCCCCAGGCAAGTCTGGATAGCAGCATGGTGCTCCTCCCTTCCTGCCCCAGGCCCCAGCAAGTGCCCAGCAGACGCTCTCTCATGCCACCCCCTCAGTCCCACAGCTTGCCTGCTCCCTGCACACAGCTTTCCTCAAGAGTTCCTTTCAAAACGTGGCTTTTCAAGAACAGCAGCAGGGAGCCAGCAAGTGATGGCAGGCAGCTGGGGAAAACACCCTCTTCCCAAGACAGCTCCCCACCCCTCGCACATCCTTCTACCACAGCTGCCTGGCACAGGTTTGGCACATTCCCTGGCACAGGCACATAAAGGGCTGTGTCAGGACAGGGTGTGTGGCACCTCATGGGCTGGCACATTTCTTCCCTCTGCTCCACAGGTTTCCTCAGCTGAGCACATGGACATGAGAGAGGAAGGATATGAGGCAGGTGAGGGCAGCCATGGCCACAGGAGCCACCCTTCATCTTGAAGGTACGAGGTGTGGGAGCCCTGTACCAGGGCTGCCTCTGCTGCCACAGTCACACTGGTTCAGGGATAGGAGACAGGCTCAGGGGCGCAGGCAATGAGACACTTCAGTTTGTCACTTTGTGTCACTGGAGAAAGAGGTTGCCATGTCATGGGCAAAGTCCTCCTTCTGGTCCATCACAGCATCTCACTCCACCTCCCAGCAAGTAATCAGGCACATCAGTGAACACAAAGTCTTTGGTATCACCCATCCATCTGCTGTGCCAGCTGCCTTTGGTTTCATACACCCACATCTATCTGGGAGGAACCCAGCAAGACTGGTATGACCACAAACATTGTCCTAGCAGACCTGTAGTATGTCCTTCTCAAAAAGCTGAGGAATAGCCCCAAAACCAAGGATACTCTCAACAGTCAGAAACCCAAGGCAAAGCCAGGAGCACTTCTGGTAGGAGCTGCAGGACAGTCACATGTTGAAACAGTTTTTGCTACAGTCACCTAGAAGTGCTGTGTTGAGCTGAACTGCCCCCTTAATAAGCAGGAGCTCCTGGTCAGCCAACTGAGCTCTGCACACCTGAGCTGACAAGCCAGTGGCTAAAACAGGACCTGCTAATGAGCTGGGATAGTTGTTCTTAGGGAAAGAACAGGATCAGATCACCAGAGGTGTAAGAGATCTTGCCATGTGATAATGGACAGGCTCTGCCCAGGGCAGACACTTCATGGTTGTTTTACACTTCTCCACAATTATCCTTGATAATGGCCCAGAGAAGGCCCTACAAACCATCCACTCCCTCGAGCTAGTGCCAACAACAGCTCTCCAGCTGCTAGAGCCAAGCCACCCCTGGAGAGAGGGGAAGCACTGTGCTGGGGAGGAGCCAGTGCCAGGGTCTGGGCTCTTTCTGCTCTGTGCCTTGACTTCTCCAGGGCCCAGCTCACAGGGGAACTAGTGGGGTAAAGACCCCCAAGAGCGATGTGTTCAGACACTGCTGTGACAAGACCAGGCACCATAACATAGGGACATCATTACGGTGACTTCCCTGCCCTGTGACTTCTTCAATATCCACCTCAGCATCCTTGCATCCAGTGGGTGCTGTTGGCTCCCCAGGAACCATGGGGAGCTCGCAGACTGCACCAGCACTGCTGGGCTGAGGAGAAGGTGGAAGATGACTTAAGCAGGGACCTCAGAAGCACTTCTGCCCACAGAGGTTAGTGTGGGAGAGGGAACAGAATTGTTGTTCCACTGGCTCACTGCACCCTTGTACATGCCAGGAGAACCACCTGACCCCAACCTCTGCCATTCTGCCATGAGTCACATCCAAATCACCTCTGACATGTGTAGATGCTCCTCAGACCTAAAGCAGAGCTGGGGAGGCACTCTGTGAGCACCCTCTTCCCCTAAAACGCAGGCAGGGAGCATTTTCTCCCACTCACTGCAGCTTATGAGCACTGACACATCATCTCACTGCATTTGGTTGGGGTCTTACAGAAGCCACCACATGCAGCTGGAGGCTCAGAGTAGCCTCACACCCAAATTACATCAGCTTAGTGGAGACAGGTCCTCCTGGAGCCACAGGCCGTACCCAGCACCCACCACACATCTCGGCAGCAGGGATGGAGCCATATCCTGCCACAGCACTGCCCAACTGCCTTGCAGCCAGCTGAGAACATCCACCTGTTCAACTGCACCCTGGGAAACCCCCTGTGAAGGAGGGCAGTTGTGCTGGATCTAGAGCTAAAAGAGGTGGAGTAACTGAATTGTACCATTTTCTAAGCTGTTGAATGAACCTGAAACTCAGGCCTCTTACCAAAATACGGCCCTGCAGTGTAGGACGCTGGCAGCAAGGGCTGAGGTGCTAACCGCGCCCACAGGCTCTGGACAGTTATGGAACATCACCCTGTAATGGAAAGATCCTCAGCAAGAAGAAAGCTGCTGCAGATATCTGCTCACTCCTTCCCAGGGCAGAGCTTTCAACCTGGTGTCTATTCACCAAGCAGGATTTTTTTCAGGTTTTTCCAGATTTACACTCCTGATGATAGAAAAGTTAGTCTGCTTAATAATATTCCCTTAGATGTAGCTCCAGTGCTTAGTCTGGAGGCAAAAATGGAAAGCAGAGAACCTCAGTTACAGTTAAAAGGTTCTTCTCTACCCAGCAGAAGGGACTGGGTTGGAAAGGCAAACCAGCCTGACCTTCCTAAGGTAGAGGAAGTCAATGCACTCAAATGGTGCAATAACACATACCAGCTCTGCACATAGACTTTGTCTCCTCTGATCTCAAAGCACTTCACAAACCTAGATAAAGAATTATTACCTACCCAGATAAGCCCAGAAGCCTGGTTTCCTTGTAACATCTTCTACTGACTAGCAACAAATCAAGATGCCAGTGAAACAGTCCCCCCATGCTAGGGTCAGTGTACCACCCTGGAGGGCTCTGGCAGATCCTGTGGAAAGGGCAGAATCCACAGATATACACAGGTGAGCCCTGTGGACAAAGCCTAGGAGAGCAGAGCACATTGCCCTGATAACTTCTCTCCCATTTATTCATTGATTAATTATTTTTTTTATAGGGAATAGTGCTGTGGAACGATCCAAACCAAAAAGCTGGATCGGGTTTTGCATTTTTTTGTCTAAACCATGCATGACATCATGAAGGAATCATTCCTGAGAGGCAGCCCAGCGCAGAGCCCACCAAGCACACCGCTGCTTCGTGACCACAGCTTCACCCCAGCGAAGCTGCTCGGCTTTGGGGGTCTCCAGGACCCCAGCCATTCTCCGAGACGCCCAGCTGCGCCATCCATCCCCGGGGAAGGTCAGGACAGACTCTACGCCAAGGGACAACCACGGACATATTACGGCAAAGCCCTTAATTCCTCCTGTCAGTGCTATAAATAGCCTAGCGCATCGCGAGGGAAGCACAGTCCTGGGTGGGCGGCGGCGCTGGGATATTCGCACCGGAATCGGAGTTCAGCGAAGCCAAACCGGTCAATACCAACAGTAACTTTTGGGGAGTTTTACACCGGCCCTGCGAGAACCGCTGGCTCTGAGCCCAGAGGAGGGCACAGGGGAACGGGGTGAACCGCAGGATCCCATCCCGACCTCCGAGCGCCAGTCCCCGATCCTGGCGCTGCCATCATCGCCGCGAGCTCGAAGCCCCCGGTCCAGTCCCGCCACTCACCGCGGCCTCGGGGCTGGCCGTGCCCCGGTTCCCGCTGTCCGGCGCTCTTCCCCCGCCGCTCCTCGGAACAGCGAGGGCTTGGCGGCTTCTCCGCGCTCCGCCGTCCGCCGCCGCCACCCTCCACTGGCGGCTCAGTCCCAGGCAGGGCCGCCCGCAGCCCCAGTACGAACCTCTCGAAGGTGAGGTACCCACTGGCCGGCGCCGCCTGCCGCAACCCCTCCATCACCCCGGCGGGCAGCTCCTGGGCTTCCGCTCCCCGCCAGCGCGACTCGATCTCCCGTAGGTGCACGTAGCCCCGCCGCCGGTCATCCAGGATATCGAAAAGAGTCCGCAGGCTCTGCAGGAAAACCCGGGGAAGACCCTCGGTACCGGCGGGGAGCGAGCGGTCACCGCGCTCTGGGGCCATCGCCGCCGCTCCGAGCGTTACTCCATAATCCCCCGCCCCCCGAGCCTATTGGCTGTCGGCGGAGAGTGCCGCACTCCCATTGGCTGGCGGCAGGAAGGCGCTCCGGCCATTGGCTGAGAGGTCGCACGGCAATTTGAGTTGCACGCGGCGCCCGCCCCGCCCTGGGCCCGCGGCTCGCGTGGGTCCCGCTCCGTTCGCGGGGGGATCCCGACCCTCCCCTGTGGACGAGGGACCACGACAAACGCCAAATCCTTGCTCTTTCTTCCCCCCGCTTTATCTACTGAGCATGATGTCGTATAGTCCAGAATATCTCTTGGGTCCGTTGGGGTCAGCTGCCCTGGCTGTGTATCCCCCCAACACCTAACGCACCCCTATCCCCCTCCCTGGTAGGGTAGGGTGAGAAGCAAAAAAAGACCGTGGGTCTGTACAAGCACCTCTCAGCAATAAGTAAAATACCTCCATATTGTCAACACTATATTTTGGTCTCCATATTTTCAGCATAAATTCAAAACCTATCCCCATACCAGCTACTGTGAAGATAATTAATACTAACCCAGCCAAAAAAAAGCACAATTTCTAAACACTTCAGAGAAAATGTGATTAGTGAACAGGGACAAGGAAAATCCCGACGATGCTATTCACTCTTACTGCCACCTTTGCAAACACATCCAAGAAGCATCAGTCAATGCAGCCTCCCTGCAGGAGGAGGATGTAGTGCACCAGCACGGAGGAGTCCTGTGTGGTGTATTTGTCTTGTGCCATGGGGGAATAAATGCTGACAGAGGGAATATAATTCCACCCTCCCAGCGCCTTGGCTGGTAAGGCACCAGTGGCCAGCAGCCAGCCCAAAATAGGGTAGATGTAAAAAAGGAGGGAAAAACCCACCAGTGTTGACAAAAGTGAGAGAAACAGGATTTGGCTCTTATCTTTTACAAACTTAGCATGCACTGGCATTGGTAAGAGAATGAGTTTCTCTACTTTACAGAGAAATTTGCTGTGTCTGTTAGACAGAGCAGCATGTTAATCCTAGTGCAAGATGATGCCTCCTCTACAAACCCCCTCTATCAGAGAGTCCATTGAAACACAGCAGACTGCAAAGCCCTGGTGTCATGATTCCCATATCACAGACACTTCAGTTTGCTCTAGGGGCTCTGGGCAGCCACATGCCACCACTTCCAGACCCACCCCCCCCCCCCGGTCTGATGCTCACGATGCTGAGAGAAGCATCAGGGAGCAAGCCTGCGGGAGAAGGGTGATGGCCAGGAAGGGTGATGGACCAATGTCCAAGGGCTCTGGTTGTGAGATTACCTGTGTCATGGATATCTTCCTGTGCCACAGATACCTCCTTGTGCCACATGCGAGCCAGGGGTGATTCTCTTTAGCTCTGAGTTGGCTTCGAAGGAAAAGGGAGGAAGCTACTTTGGGCTCAAGCCCTCCCACTCACCTTGCCCTTGCTGTGCTCCCCTTGCCATCAGATTCCCTGCCCAGGTCAGACTTCATCCAAGTGTCTTTAGCACCTTGGTCCTACTTCTGGTTTCTCATTCCATTCTTGCCACTTCTTCATGGAGACTCAGCCTTGCCAGCCCCAGGCTGCCAGGTAAATCACAGCAACCTCTAGAGACCCTCAGAGGGCTTTTCTCTACCAAGATCCTGCTCCAGCTGCTCTCCATGCTGCAGCTGAGCTGTTCACAGCCTGCTTTTCTTTAACTCATTTATTTTCATAAATTTCCCAGACCCATCTTACCTGTTTGAGATGTCTGCTTGGCTTAGCTGTGTTTGACTGAACAGGTTCACACCTGCTCAGGATATGGGGAGAAGGAACCACAGCTTCCCTTCACTTTCTACTCCAAAAACAATGTAGTCACTATGGTGCTGCTCAGCTCTGGCAGCATCAGCACATGGGCTGTTTTGCCCAGCAAAGGCTTGATCTGCAAAAAAAGAGGATTTCCTCTAGGTTCTTCCCCCATCTCTGACTTTGCAGGAACAACCAGAAATAACAGGGAGACTGTCTTGTGCCCAGCCAGTCTATCCCACCAGGAAAGTGAACCAGAGATACCAGATACAATTCCTGGTGTTTACTGTGTCTGCACGTTCAGCTGAAATACTCTCACGGCTGTCCATGTGGAGCTTCCTGCTCCAGCACAGGGAGCTGGGATACAACTGCCAAAGGCAGCTCTGCTGTGTTTTCTGTACCAAAGTGCCTTTGACAAAGCTGCTTTGAGACAGGTTGACATTTCCATCCTCAGGGTGGTCTGGTGGATGAGGTTAGGGAGATTTTGGATATTCTTGGAAAAGACTTCTTGGAGGTTTTTGTTTGTTTGTTTGTTTGCTTTTGTGTTGTTGTCGTTGTTTTAGGGGAGGTTTTATTTTTGCTCGCCATTTAGCTTGTCTTGGGGCCAGCCCAGACTCTTCTGATAAACAGAGATGTCTTTGGTTTTTTAAATATAAACAATGTGGTTATTCAGCTCTCCTTCCTTCAAGCTACTGGGAAGCATCAGCTGCCATTCAGAGCCCACCCAGCCCTCCCTCTCTGCTGGCCTACGGGTACTGGCAATGACACGGCTCTGGTATGGTGACAGGGATTATATCACTGCCACTCTCTGGGGAGGGCACAGGGCATCTGCTGGAGGCTGGCGGCACCAGTGTGTCCCACCAACCAGCAGTGCCACCTCTGCGAGGAGAGGTCAGAGCAGCTGCACCAAACTCAGCAGAGCACTGGGGTAAAAAAATGCTGGTGTTGGACACTGGGGCACCTTCCTACATGACACTGACCATCGAAGGGTGCTGATAGGTGATTGTAGCAGTTGATAGAGCCCTGTGCTGGCTTCAGCAGCAGGTAGGTGTTCACATGTAAATCTTGATGCTGCAGAGGACACATGGTGACTTACAGCCACAAAGTTGTCTCCGGATGACCATGTCCAAACAGATGCTATGAACCTCTGTTGCCATGTCTTGCCAGGAGAGAGCAAGGTCTGATGGGGAAGCAGCCACAGGTCTGTGGACTCAATGTGTGCATGCTGCTGCCTGGAACATGGAACAGCTGGCACTGCCACTGGCTCATGCAGGGCTGCATCCAGAATGGGTTTGTTCCTGGCCAGGGCAGGTCACCACCTGGCACGGTTGGTTGCAGTTTGGCTAAAACTAGACCAGGAGCTGTGCCAACAACAGTCCAGGTGCCAAGTCCTGGTACTTCCTGTCACTGAACAATTAGGCACAACCGGTGTTAAATCTTCTTTCAGCCTCAAAGCTATCAGGGAATTACTTCCACTGGGGTACCAAAGTGTCAATCCAGAAATGCATCTGTCTCCAAGGAGACCTCTCAGCAGAGACTAAAAATAGTGAGGAGAGCATGGTGGGAGAGTTTTCCCTCTGGGAAGAGATATCTTGTTTGATCTTCTCAGCTCTGCAATGCCATTGTGTTTTTCATCTTTCTGCTCTATTTGCCTTGGTGAGGGCCAGACACTTGCCATAAAGTGTCTTTTCTCTCTTCCAGACTATTTTTTCCTCAGAAGGTCAGCAAGCAGAAAATTTGGTATATACCTGGTGGCTCAGAAGCTGTCACAAGGGCTGGGAGAAGGAAAGCTAGTGAGCTGTTGAAAGAAGCTCTCCAGAGGGTGGTGGGTTGTTTGTTCATCTCAGTCCACAGAGCAAGAACTGGTATTAGCAGGAAATGGCGGTCACTCCATCCTGTCTCACCATGCCACCTCTTCTGCAGTCTTAGCACAGAAAGTTTAAATAGAGGGAATCACCTGGGGCTTAAATGGAAGTCCAATAGATGCTATAAGGCTTCCAGTCACAATCCATCTAGCAATCACTCTGTCCTATCACAAACTCCACTCTCCTGCTGCCAACAAGGTCAGGAGTGGCCAAGGGCAACAGCAGTCACAGTCATGCCACAGCCAGAAATTCATCAGCCTGTCACCATTTTCAGGGAATGACTGTAAAACCATATTTCTTTGGGGAACATATTGCTGATCTGTGGAAAAGCTAGTGTCCACAAAGTAGACAGAGGAGTCCTTCAACTTTATTCAAATAAAGGGAGAGAGTCCACTGGGCCATACTACTGTGGGATCTCTCTCAAAGTTTCACAGGACACAGCTTCCTTTTCTCTTTAAACTCCTGGCCACATTTTGCCCTCTTCCTTTCCCTATTGGCTGAGTTACTAGGAAGGTACAGTCTTCTGGAACTACTACCGCATATTCCACACTTGAACATGTCTTGACATTTCCTCTCAAAGTTAAGATGTTCAGGCTTTGTTCTGCAGATCCACCAGAAGTTCAGACTGTCTGGGTTCTGCAATAGACTTTGTGCGGACCCATTTCTCCTATTACCCTGAAATTCAGAAGCTCAGACTGTCTGGTCAAACTGTTTGGGCTGTAACAAATTTGTGCGGTTTGACGTTTGTAGATTAAGACCCATTTCAAAGATATTAACATCCATTTCTCTTAAAGACCCTCACCAATCAACTCATTTGTAAAGACATTAGCATATGTCTTTCCTATCAGTGGGTACTTACATGTTTAAACCTGGAGCAAGGTCATAAACACAACAACCTCTGCCTCTCTCCTGGAGGGATACCTCACCCTGATTGTCAGTGAGCTGGAGCTTTTTTCTTGCTGAAATTCCTGTTCTACCTGCATGTTTGTGTTTTGTTTGTCCCAAGCATGCCTCCCTCCTGTTCACTGGGGTTGTTCTGCCTGGTGTAACTAATCCAACCCGTCACCACTTTTATTGCTTTGCAGAAGGAAACACCTACACACAGAGTGCCATGGGCAGTAGAACCAGCTTAGGGGATGCTGTGCAGCCAGACTAACGTGTTCTGGTGGATGGCTGGACTGGGGAGTGGGAGCACATTTGCCAGCAGCAGCATGATTTGCTTTTGTTCTTCTAGAATCCTATGGGCATGAGATCCCACAGCTCTGAGATGGGATTCCCTCAAGGTAAGGCAGCAAGTTCTGCAGGAAAAGGCAGGGCTTGATTTACAAGTTGGATCTGACAGAGCCTTTACTGATGGATAAGGGTTGGTGGTTATGTAGGCACCATGTGTGTGGTGCACCTGCACTCGTTTGCACACTGGGCAGGCAGGGCATGCAACCACATTGGGGAGAGATGTCATATAAAGGGGAGCAGAGCAAGGAGGTTTCAAAACTCCAAGGCTCTTCTGAGCAGGAGCTGTGTCAAGTCACATAAAATAAGAAACAGAATGTGAAACAGAAGCTTTGACAACTCTCAGAGATTCTTCCTGACCTGATGGTCATATCCGATGAGGTCTAGCTTCCCTGACTCCAACCACCTCCAATGCAGGGAGGTGGTTGTGTCTGAGCTGCTGTCTGTCTCCTCATGTTCTCCTATCCAGCTGGGCTCTGACTGCAGGCAAGATGATTACTGTGAGTAAGGGGCAATCACAGCCTATGGGTGAGGATTTTTCTACGCTCATGACAATAAAGTTCAAACAAAGTTGTTCTTTAGCATTTTAGATTGATTTTTAGTGTCCTCCTGCTCTTTACTTCTCAGTTCATGGCTCTTGGTTCCTGCAGATTAGGTTATTTCTTAATCATTCCTTGATCTTTTATAATTTTTTTAATCTGTCCTTGAATTTGTCCTGAACTACTTCAATGATTCCGTGCATTTTAAACTCTTATCCTTCTCATTGGTCCTTTATTTAAAAAATGGGGAACTGGATTTGTGAGCCGGTGGCCTGAGTCTGCGCCATGTCTGGGGTACAGCTGGCCTATCCAGCTCCTGTTGCGTTGAGGGAACCCTGAGATCTTGCTATGTTTCCCAGTGTAAGAGGGGACATTGGGACCTCCTGGCATAGGTTGCACCAGGACCCGGGGATCCCATCACACACACCTCATGCCAGCCACAGGACCATGGTGTTAGGAAAATTAATCCACAACTATCAGAGGTTTATGTCTAAAAAGGAGACAGAGGAGTTTTTTACTTTATTTGAATAAAGGGAGAGACCATGGGGCATTCCCCTGGGATCTCTCAAATTTTTGGAGGACACAGCCTCCTTTTTATCCCAATTTCCTGGCCGCATTTCCCTCCTCTCTTTCCCCATCGGCTGAGGTACTTGAGAGGTTCAGACTTCCCGATACACCTGACACTGAAGATTTCCCTCTAATGTATAATCCTCCCTCTTAATTTTTAATTCGTATGGAATTTAGGGACTTTTCTTCCCCATTGTTTCTCTCATCTTTCAATGTCTAATTTAATTTATCAGCAAACCTAAAGTTTACTTGTAAAAGCAAATATCTTTTTCCATTCATCAATCAGTGGAATCCTTCCCATTGTTTCTTTTATCTCCCAGTGCCAGTTTTATCTACCAGCAGACCCACAGCTTGCTTGGAAAGACAAATCGGCTATTCCTCTCAATGGCCACTGTAGAGCAGAGTTTTGGCCACAGGGCCCAATTTTCAAGAAGTACAAAGGAGTATCCCAGAAACTAGAGGCCTGACAGTGTCACTTCAGTGCCTGGTAAAGTTATGGAGAAGATTATTCTGGGAGTCATTAAAAAACACCTGAAAGACAACACAGTCACTGGTCACAGTGTGATAAATAGGTATGATTCGTGCTGATAAAAATTGAAACAGTAATCAATATTGATACAGTAATTAATATTTGAGAATAATAAAACAGTTAATAGTTAAAAGTTGTAATGCCAAAGAAGAGAGGGAAAGGAGGGGCTCTACCCATCCCCCCCTTCCCAGCAGATGTTCTCAAGGACCACAGGAAAGAAGCTGAAGATACAGTTGCTAAAAATGACCAAGAACCTGGTTGGGTCCAAGAAAATGCTAATTATAGGGGACTTATTGCTTTGATATGTAGATGCAGTGATATGTTAGTCTTGGCTTATATTGTACTGGCTTGGTGCGCATGTGTAACCTAAAGGTGAATTAAAGGACAACGAAGACGACTACAGGGCCTTCATCAGTGACGACCCCCAAAGACTTGTGCGACCACCAAACCGAGTGGTGGCGCATGCGTGGTAAAGGTGGTAATGAAGGCGGAGACAGAAAAGTGATGAACCGAAAATAGGAGGAGATGGCATTGACACATGGCATATAAGGGGTGACTTTTACTTGGCAAGTTTGTACGTGAAGTGGCAAGGGTCAAGAACCCTGCACTCCGTACCCTGCAGCTGTTTTTGCTTATGCACTATTATTTGAACCAAATTATCCCTTGTTCATATATTTTCTAAACTATTTAATTAAAATTGTTACTACTTTTAATATTGTTTGGCCTTTTTATGATGGGATAATTGGGCAAACATAACAACAGCCAGCATGGCTTCATGAAATTGCTTATCAAACCTGATTTCCTTTTACAGCAAGGTGGCCCACCTGGTTGATCAAGGAAAGCCAGTTGAGGTAATCTCTTCGGATTTCAGTAAAGATTTCAATACAGTCTCTCCTAGTATCCTTCCAGATAAAATGTCCATCATTCAGCTGGGTAAACACATCATGTGATGGGTGAGCAACTGGCTTATGGGTTAGGCACAAAGGGTGACAGTGACTGGGGTGACATTAGGCTGGCACAAGTCACTAGTGGGGTTCTGCAAGGCTCCACCATTGCCCCTGTGCTCTTTAACGTTTGTTAATGACTTGGACACAGGACTGGAAGAGAAACTGAGCAATTTTGCAGGCGATACAAAAGTGGGAGGAGCTGTTGACTCCTTCGAAGGGAAGGAGGCTCTGCAGGGAGACCTGGACCTAGAGATTTGGAAATTACCTACCATATGAAGTTCAGCAAGGGAAAATACCACATTCTGCACTTGGGATGGAGCAACTCTGGATATACAAACAGACTGGGGAATGAGATGCTGGAGAAGAGCGTCACAAGAAGGAACCTGGGAGTCCTGGTTGACAGAAAGTTGAATGTGAGTCAGCAGAGCCCTGGAGCCAGGAGGGACATTTGTGTCCTGGGGGCATCATGTGCTGGTCAAGGGAGGGGATTGTCCCACTCTGCTCTGGGCTGGGGTGGCCTCGCCTCGAGCCCTGATGGCAGTTTTGGGCACCACAAAGTAAGAAAGACATTAGGCCATTAGAGAGTTTCCAAAGGAGGGCAACGAAGATGGTGAAGGGCCTCGAGCAGAAGCTGTATGAGAAGTGGCTGAGACTTGGTCTGTTCAGCCTGGAGAAAAGAGACTGATGGTCACACTGTCAGTCTTCAACCTCCTCCTGAGGAGAAGAGAACGGACAGACATTGATCGCTTCTATGTAGTGACCAGGGACAGGATCTGAGGGAATGGCCTTAAGTTGTGTCAGGGGAGGTTCCGTTTGGATATTGGAAAAAGGTTCTTTCCCAGACGGTGTTTGTGCACCAGAGCAGGCTCCCCAGGAAATTGATCACACCACTAAGCTGACAGAGCTCAAGGAGTGTCTGGACAACAATCCCAGGCACACGGTGTGACCTTGGGGATGGTGCTGGGCAGGGCCAGGAGTTGGACTCGATGATCCCTGAGAGCCCCTTCCAACTCAGACTATTCTGTGATTCCATGGGGGAAGCGCTGCACTGGACGCAGCTCCGGCGGGGCCGGGATTGGGGCGAGCCCACAAGCGCCTCCCGCCCCCTCAGAGCGAGAAGGCGCCGCCACTCCGGGACCGCGTGACCCGCGAGCGGCGGGGCGGGGCTCCGGGGGCGGGACGGCACCTCTGGCTCCGCCCCGGCCCGGTGCTGCTGCGTCCCGCGCCGCTCATCGCGGGCTCCCCACGCCATGGACCCTCCCGAGGAGGTGCGGACGCAGCTGGAGCGGTGCGGACAGGCCCATCTGCTGCGGTTCTGGGCCGAGCTGGACACGGCGCAGCGCGGAGCGCTGCTGGCGGCACTGCCGCCGGGGCTGGGCGAGCACTGCCGGCAAGCGGCGGCGGCCGGGGCCCGCCAGCGCGGCCCGCACGAGCGCCTGGACGGCCGGATGGAGCCGCTCCCTCCCGAGCTGCTGGGCAGCGCCCGCCGCAGCGGCCCCGCCGCGCTGCAGCGCTGGGAGGCGGAAGGTGAGAGGGGCGCGAGGCCGCCTGTCCCTTCCGTTCTGGGGCTGCCGGGGTCCGGCGCGGGGGTTCTGGACCAGCCGCGTCCCGCCGAGCCCCAGCGGTGCGGGACAGGGGCTGCCCCCGCCCGGGCCCCGGGGCAGGAGCCGCCCCTTGCGGCGGCACCGCGGGGCGCTGGGCAGTCCATCCCCGGCACCGCGGGTGGGAGCCGCAGGGACGGCGGGTCGGGCAAGGAGGAAGAGAGCAGGTTCACGGCTACACCCCGGCCCTTAGCCCCGGCAGCCGGTGTCCTCGGCCCGGGGAACTTTGGTTGAGACACCGAGTTTTCACTCTGCGTTATGAAATGCAGCGGCCGAGGCTCCGCGGCCGTGCCGGGCCGGATCAGAAGATCTCTACAATTCTGTGACAAGCAGTGATAGCTAGCTGGGACTGAGTCTTTCCTCTCACAGAACAAGCAACGGAATAAAAGGAAAGAGCCTCAAGTTGCGTTAGAGGAGATTCAGGTTGAATATTGAGGAAAATTTCTTCACTGAAAGGGTGATCGGGCATTGGCATAGGCTGCCCAGGGCAGTTGTGGAGTCACCATCCTTGGAACTGTTCAAAAAGCAAGTGGACACGCCACAATACTCTTTAGAGGACATGGGGTTGTTTTACAGTATCTGTCATGAAAAAATGTAATACTAGAGGATTTAAAGGGGCTCCAAGAGAGCTTGAGAGGAACTTTGGACAAGGACTTGGAGTGACAGAGCAAGGGGTAATGGTTTCACACTTGACAGAGGGTTAGATTAGATAGTAGGAAGAAATTGTTTCCTGTGAGTGGTGAGGCCTTGCCACAGGTTGCCCAGAGAAGCTGTGGCTGCCTCTGGATCCCTGAAAGTGTTCAGGCCAGGTTGGATGGGGCTTGGAGCAACTTGGGGTAGTGGAAGTTGTTTCTGCTTGTGGCAGGGGGTGGAATGAGATGGTCTTTAAGGTCCCCTGCAACCCAAACCATTCTATGACTATGAGTCCCTGGGGAGGGTGGGAGCCTGGGAGGTTTCATTGCTGCTTAGCTGGGTAGCTGCCTGGAGGATGAGCTCCCAGCCCACCAAAAGGTGCAAAGGCCGGTCTCAGGTGCTGATCCCCATCCTTGCTGTGTCATGTGCAGCAGGAGGCTGATGGGATCTGGGAGAAGCCCAGGAAAGTCCATAATCCATGATTTTTGGAGCCTGGTAGATGCAGGTATGTGAAAGCTAGGGGTAATGGGGGAGATGGTGGCTGGATGTGCCCTTCCCACAGCATGTAAGTCTTACATGGCTGTCCTGTGCTTTTTTCTAAGTGCACACTCTTATTTATTTATAAGGGCTCATATGTGTCTTGGATCTTTCTTTATAAAACATAACAGCACCATTAAAAAACAAATTTAATAATAAAAAGAAAGCCAGGAAGACCCACCTGGGTTGTAGAGATACTTGCCTGATTTTTGACAAGTGGTTGCGCAGCCTTGGCCCTGCGTTGCCAGTAAAGAGGTGAGGATGTGTGGGCAGGGGAGTCAAATTTTCCAAGCAGAAACAGAAATAGAAGCATCAGGGTCACAGGGCAGAGAAGCTTTTCTGCTGTGTCAGACTCCACTCATGGGGCTGAGTGGTGATGGAGGGAACATAAGCTGGTACAGTGAATCATAGAATCCCAGAATGGTTTAGGTTGGAAGGCACCTTAAGGACCATCTCATTCTACCCCTTGCCATGGACAGGGTTCCCTTCCACTGTTCCAGGTTGCTCCACGCCCTGTCCAACCTGGCCTTGGAAACTTCCTGGGATCCTGGGTCAGCCACAGCTTCTCTGGATAACGCGTGCCAGGGCCTGCCCACGCCCACAGGGAACAATTTCTTCCCCATATTGCATCTATCCCTGCCCACTGGCAGTGGGGGCCATTCCCTGTATCCTGTCCCTCCATCCCTTGTCCCCAGTTCCTCTCCTGCTCTCCTGGAGCTCCTTTAGGCCCTGGAAGGGG